ATTTAGCTGGTTTGAAGTATAATTTTTTTGTGTTGGAAATATGCATATTTAACTCATTTTCTAGTTAGATTATTTCAAACACCCGATCCATTACAGTACTATTGTACATATTACAAAATTTTTGAAAAGAAATTGAAAATACATTTTCTGATAAGAAAAACACTTATTTTAGTGTAGAAGTGTTGTTACTGCATAAGATTGATGAAGAATGGAGTAGCCGTTTTAGACATTTTAAAATTTGATTATATTTCCATATTCAGTAATTTAAGAGTTACTAAAATATCCTAGTGTTAACTGTTTTAATCATTTGTTGGTGCACTGTTGTGTCATATTCCGATTCATCTTCATACATTTTTAATATGTTTTCTGAAGAATAAAAATTACAACAGAATAAATTAAAACAGACAAATTGGCATATTTTAGGTGGAGTCACGAGAAACGATTTCCGTTAAATTACCAAATAATCTCAATTTTAATATTTGGAAAGGAAATGCAGAAGAGAAAAATATATTTGTAATCAAGAAATGTGGCAACATGACACCGTGCTAGCACGTGACAAGCCAAATTCACGCTAAGCCTACATTACATTTCACGTTAAGAATTAAGATTATGGAATAAAGTAGCTTTGCACTTTTTATCACTTAATATATACTAATTGATGATCCTTTCTGTTGTTTGTTATTAATCTTCTGAACACTTTAGGTAAGTTAATTTGGGTAAGCAGTCGCTAATTCATTAAATGATATGATAAATTGAAGCATAAATTGTTGTTTTTTATAAATGGGCAGAGGGTACCAAATTTATGGGGAAAGGATAAAGACGGGGATAAGTTACTTTTCAGCTTAACTATTTTCTTCTCAATTGTTTTTACGTAAAACCAGTTGTCACTAGAACCCTGCGGAAACTCACGTAATACTGCAGACAGGAAAAGCAATTATTCTCCTTCTAGAGAGCTAAATGTATGGTTTTGAAATACTGGTAAAATTAGATAAATTACGTTCTTGATTTCATAGCTGTAAATCTTAAATAATATCGGTATGGACAAAAGAATCTAATTGTAAATCGTGGTTGTCTGTACTGTTAGTATAAAAACATTTTGTAAAACTGATTAGAAAACTCACTGTTGGAGCCGAATTATAGTTTTTCGAAAATAAAAGTTTGCATTATTATTCGTACTTACTTTTAAGATAAAAATGTCATCTAGCCTTAGCTTTGGTTTTTGTTCTTGTTCTGACTATGAGTTTGTTGTTGCACAATTCAATGTGGTAAGAGTTTGTTTACACTCATGAAGCAAACACAGTTTCTTAACATTAAGGCGTTAAGACATAAAGGAATAAGAGCATAAATTTAGAAAGTTATTGTCGAAAACAAATTGTTCGATTTGTTGTACAAAGGAAGGATTTCCATGGTATGACTACTGTGGATGTAATTCGATAAACGTAATATACTTTCTTGGACTTTGAAAATTATCTATACAACAAAGAGGAACTAATATGTGAAGCACAATAATGAATCAATAAACTTGTATTCACAAACATGGATGTCAGGTCAATACCATCTCTTTTAAAAGTATTAAACGTACTAGATAATTATGGTTAGGATATAATAAAACTTTATTTCTACACCATTTCTTACTCTCCAATATGTTCACATCTCTCATGATAAAACACTATTTAATCTAGATAGTGATATCTTAATTTTAAACATAGTCTGTAAATCTATTCTAAACACGTGTAACTAGAATTGTATTATCGCTCTTCTTCTTGTTATTAATTATATTATTATTACTACAAATATTTCATTCAGAGTCACACGCTTATAAGAATCCATATTTTTAAGGTGTGTTACAGAGAGGTGTTAAAGGGTTCACTATAATACTTAAGTTTGGTATTGTTGCTGTCATGTTTATTGCAGGAGGAGGTGCAGCAGTAGGCAGGCAGGTGTGCACAGCAATGCCACAGAGAAAGAGAGAGAGGAAAATGTGCAGGCAGGGAGGATAGTGATAAGGAGAGAGAATTATCAATTGAACATCAACATCTGCCTAGTACAGAGGCATTTGAGGCAGAATTCACAAAATTAGAAGAGTCAGAAAGATATAAACTTGGAAATACCTTACAAAAAACGTCCTAGAGAGGTTTGTAAAGCATGCTGATTGTCAATTGCATAAAGTAGCAATGGCAACTCATGGTCAGGAGGCAAGACTAGCAGACATCCAGCTGTCTGCTGTTTTGGCGTCACATCAACAGGAGGCAAAATCTTGCCTGTTGAATACTGTAAACACAGTGCAGTTTTTGGCATGGTAAAAGTGGGCTTTTATAGGCCATGAGGAAAAAGAAAGGAATCTAAGACAGCTGCTGAAGTTGTAGTCAGATGATGATTCCAAACTCTGTATATTATTGACATGTATCTAATATTATTCCTGCCGTAAAATTCAAAAGTAGATCCTTAGTTTAATGGACAACTCGATTGTGCGAGATATTGCAAATCAAGTCAGTTCTCTGCCAAATGCTGCAATATTCAGTGATCAACTGATGGAACAATGACACTGTTAACTCGGCATGTCTTCGCTATATGGATCAAGTTCTGATGTCACATGAAGTATTTGTAGGTCTCTACAAAATGTCTTCGACAAGAGGAGAAAGAATATCCATAGTTGCCACTGATGTGTTACTGTGCCTCAATCCACGTCTTTCTGGTATTCATGGGCAAACATATTATGATGCTGCAAATATGCTGGGCCATTACTCTAGTGCACAGGTTTTTCTTAGAAAAGAACAATCACTAGTTTTTTTATGTCCATTGTTGTTCTCATTGTGTAGATATCATTACTCAAGCAACTTGTACAGTCTCGTCGGTGATTAACGATTCTTTATGGAGGCTTTACTAGTTGAGAATATAAGGCAATAGCAAAGTATGAGAGTGGATCTTACACAACTTTGAAACCGCTGTACCCCACAAGGTTGGTTGTTCATAACCTAGCCATTCAGTCAGTGCTCAACTAGTATAATCCAGTGTTGCTTGGTTTAGAAGAGATGGTTTCACCTAGTGCATAAGACTCAGCAACTAAAGCAAATGGACTTCTGGAAATATTTCAGAAGGGAAAACGGTTCTTGACTAATCGTAGCCACTAAAGTGATGAAGAAATTGGAATGCCTGAACATCTCTTTCCGAAAGTGAACATAAACCATTTCTCGAATACTTGCTGCAGTGGTTGTGTGTCAAAACCTCTCTTCAAGAAAAAAAGAACTGTGGAGAGCTTCAGCAAAACTTATTATAAAGTAACATAATCAATCAACTCCTTGAATATTAAGCCAATTCAAGCACCACACATAAGAAAACCACCCAAGTGCTTTACTGGTGAGGCTGTTCTACAGGTACCAACGTCTCCTTTGGGGTACTATATAGCTCAGTACTACAATACGCTAAACACTGTAGATGTGCAGTTCAGAGAAATCTTCGATCAGAGAAGCCTGCAAAAATTTTATAAATTGAAGAAAATTATCCTTACCAGAAAGACTGACAATGTTTTAAACCAATGCGCAGTGTTGACCAGGAAATCATTGAATATGTAGTTAGCCACGTTCATCTCAAAACACATTTACAATTCCTGTGCTGAAGCTGTAAAAAAATTGTGGGACATACTGCCTGAGGTCCATGGCCTCTTTGATCAGGTTTAGACTATTGTAAGGTTGCTGTCCCTGCCTCCTCTGCTGAAGGTGAAAGGAGCTTCAGTGCTCTTAAAAGGCTGAAGACCTGGCTTCGAAATTTTACGAAACAAAATCGACTGAAGAATGCAGCCGTTTGCCACATTCATCAATAACAACTTGATCACTTGGAAAGAAAAACACTCTGCCAGCAATTTATTACTTCAGTTGTCCAGCGCAGGAATATTTTCGGATCTTTCATTAAGTAAAACAAAGGAGCTCTTGTTATTTACTGGTTGGCAAAAACAACTTGGAAGTTAACTATACAGTAGGTTAAACTATGGCGAAAGAAAAAGAGAGACCTTGTCAAAATTGCATTGATTGTTTGTTTTTGAATTTTCGCGCAAAGCTACACGAGAGCTATCTGCGCTAGCTGTCCCTAATTTAGCAGTGTAAGACTAGAGGGAAGGCAGCTAGTCATCACCACCCACCGCCAACTCTTGGGCTACTCTTTTACCAACGAATAGTGCTATTGACCGTCACATTATAACGCCCCACGGCTGAAAGGGCGAGCATGTTTGGTGTGACGGAGATTCGAACCTAACCACCTGGCCATGCCGGCAAATTGCATTGTAATGCGTTTTCTTCTTAAGACAAGTATAGTTATGCTTCTAAATGTTTTCTGTTTTACTATGATGGTTAATGTTATTCTGTTTGTATACCAAAACAGTAATTTTCATTCTTGATATTGCCATATCTGTTCAACTCCAGATCACAAAATTAATATGTATACAAGTTGAAGAAAATGATGAATTAATACATAGAACTGTTACAACAACCAAGATATATATCATAACAGAGTGGTAAAGATAATATATTAAACTTATTTTGCACAATGCTTATATTTATTCAAAGACTAACAATAATACGTTTCGTTCCTCCTTTTTACCAAAGGGTAACATTTTCACCTAAAGTTTTTACTGTATCAATAATTAATCAGTAATTTGATGTCCTCAACTTACCCTAAGTATTACTGGTGTAAGTGTTATTACTGTTTCATAAGTTGTATTGATATCTAAATTAATATTATGCAAAGTGTAATGTGGTAAACTGGTGATGTTGAAATTAGATCTTTCAGAGTTTTAAAATACTGTAAATATTGATATAATTTCTACTTAGTGAATGCTTTGCATTAATATAAAATTATTTTTTTAGAGCAAACTCTCTTTTATATCTCAGTTTCAAGGAATGCCCTCCCCCAACTTTTGAAACGAAAGCTTAGCCCTGGATTAGCAAACATTTTTATGAAAAAGTTAACTTAACAAATCTTAAAATTACTGGATAACAATCACTCACCATCTCCACAGATCCATAATGGCGGCGACTGAAGACTCCTCGGCGCGCACCAAGATCAGCTGATGATGAGCTACAGATAAAAATGTATTTAGATCAAACAAATAGACGTATTTGAGCTGTAGACATTTATGATAAACAATTACCTTATCTATATTATTATTCTGCTTGTTTGTATGTACGACCGTTTACGCTTTTCTGACCCGAGAACCTGCTGCATAAGCATGCGTAGTTAGAATGTTTCCCCAAGAAAAACTGCGCACGCGCATTATTCACTCGACGACAAACAGTCTGCCAGCGGCAGAGAGCTGCAACGCTCAGTGATCAAGTCGCTACAATTGCTGTAT